ATTTTTTTTAATTACTCGCAATATTCAGGACATCTACATAACCCGTCCCATAGTCGGGTCTTTTACCTTAATAATTTTTCAAAACAAAATTGGTAGTACGTAAGTTAGTATCTACTGTACTTGCCACTTGGATACCTTGGTGATAAATACTAAAATGAACTTTGAAACTCTGAATCCATAATATTATCACCATGAAATGCACTATAGTCATTACTAACTATAGCCCGACCAGGAACATAAAAACCCTCGCCATGTTGCGGAAAACTAATGGTACTAATTTCTTTTAATGGCTACAGTAACTGAAAACTTCATCGACATGTCATCTTGCATGTCATTTTAAACTGTCTATTGCGGTCAAAGTGTAAACAAACTTTATTTTATATGTGTGCAATTGATTTTGTGAATTAAATTGCTAAAATCTTTTTATAGTCGTGAAAGAAAAGTGGTTCACAATGTGTTAAAGTATTTGTCGAAGAGAAATACTAAGGGTTCGGCAATATTTTCATTGAATAATGTTTCCGACAAAGGTTGTCAACTTGACTGACATGTTTATCGTATAGTACAGTCCACTATGAAAATTAGCTGTGGTTTGTTTCAACTACCTATTTTAAAGTTTTTTGTCACTTACAGCGCAGCGCAGAAACAGCGCGGAAACTCCCGAATGCACATTCGGTTTCGGTCGTAGTTTCGGCAAGTTTGCCGCCGAAAACGAAACTAAACCGAAACTCGTGTTTTTACCGAAACTCAACCGAAAACGAAACCGAATAAGCTACCCATCCTTATTGCTCGCGCGTAATTATATTGCTGTCGCGACTGTGCGACGGGCGCCCGCAGTGAGTGTGCGAGCGCGACAGCAACATAATCGCGCGAGCGATAAGGATGGGTAGCTTGGGGTCATTGGACAAAATTCTACGTGCTCACGGACCAGGCTTTAGTATAGTCTAAAACAGGGGTCTCCTAACTACGGCCCGCCATCAATCCGGCCCGCGACAGCTTAAGACCCAAATATGCCACCTGTTAGTGGGTAGCTGCAATAGAAAATACCTAGAACAGTACATAGTAACACTACTCGACACTCGATGTCGTTACGTGTCACAATACACAATCAATAGTAATTTAAATGTTTGCATAGGTGGGCAAACATGCCGAAAGAATTATTATGGCCCCAAGACTTCAAAGTTTGGAGACCCATGGTCTAAAAAAATAATTTCTAGAAGCGCAGTCGCAGTATCACTACCGTCCCGTAGCAAACGCGACATGAGTTGCGCTTCTAGAAATTGTATGAAAACTAGTTGTTCCGCCCCAGTGGCGCCATTATAATGCTTCCTCACGCCTCATACTTATTGGCACACGGTGATATGACGAAACTATAATAAGGATAGCAAACCAACGGCACACAACATTAAAGAGACATGCATTTGAAAATAACTTACCCATTTTTTCCATAACTTCTAATTTCTTGTTGACTTTGTACGATGACGGGCGGTAATCGCCAGACGGCGGGGAACCTCGCCTCTCCCCACTGCTAAAAATAAAGTAATACTGTATTACATACAATAAAATTAATTTCATGGCTACCATAGTATAATTGATATTAGGACAGTGATCTTCGTATTAAACTAAATTACTTAAGTCTAATGTTTGTATTATTTCTTTCTTGAGATGGCAGGATGTACGAGCAAGTACATAGCATATAAGTTGTTCAGTAAATCTGCTGACATAGCGCCTGCGCGCGCGACCTACTTTCTGTTCATTTTACTTCATTTTTATAACTTACTTACAATTCAGTGCAATAAACGCTCTCTACGGAATCGGACACAGTTTTAATTACCACATCCCGTGACGTAGATAAAACTACAATTACAACTAACATCAACACTGTAGAGGCACACAAGACACACAGCCCCTACAACCATGCTCTATGCTGGATAATGGTTTGGTATATTGTCCCAAAGATTAACGTAACCTGGGACTATTTCAATACATCTTAAAGGTTTGCGATGATGCAAAATTCATTGTCATGAGAAGAGAACTTCATTTCTCTTAGAGAAGTCTACGAATGCATTACCTGGAGGTAGATGGTGGCGGAAAAGCCGCGCCGCGGGAGCGCTCTCTAGACCGGGACCGCTCGCGTCTGTCAGGATGCCTGTGGGACCTGGGAACAACATAAACGCCTTGCAGTTAGTCTGTGTAATCTTTTAAAAAATAGTTCCGTTAACCCTACAATGCTTGCGTGTTCACCACAATAGTCCAACAGGGGTGGGTTTCGAACCCGCGTTCCTCGGATCTCGAGGTCAGTCGGACCCATTAATTTTATTGGAATATAGTCGCTCTCAATTTTTACTTGTTTCCCACCATATAAGAAAGAAATCAATTATTGTTCTTTTTTCTTGTATTTCAAATTGAAATAAATATGTAGTTGTGGCAGAAATAAATACTCACCATAAGATGAATAGGAATGCGTACGGAACAAATAAACACACAATAAATTATCTTGCATTAGAAAATAATTAGTTTTCATCCTATTGCAGACAACAAAATTCAATTATAATAAGTACTATAATAATAAGAAGAACTATGAACTTACCGCGACTCCTCGGAGCGGCGGCCGTGCCTGTCTCTGTCTCGCTCGCGGTCTCTGTCGCGGCGGTCGCGGTCCACGAACCTGAAGACAAATTAGAATTTTTAAATTCACTCAGCTGAAAGTTTGTAAAATTATAGCATTACGTTTGTTCTTCTAAGGGCCTCTGCTAAAACGCGTGCGGGTGGACGAAGCGCGGATTAATGTAAGGAAATGCACGGGCAACCGCGTGCGCTACTCTTCTAATATTTCGATACTGAACCGCGTGCAAACGCCCGCGCGGGTATTAGCGGAGGCTGTAACAGTTTGATGGAGATAGATTTTTCAGACTGGCAGTATAACCGGTATTTGACAGTGTAAGGTGTGCGTTTTTTCTATTTCTCAGTAAGAAACGGCGGAGTAGAAGCGCGTCAACACTAATGGGCCTCAGTCAGCCACTAGAATCGAGGGCTTCTCTACCGGCTGCGTATCCTATCTATCCTAGATCATCATAGGGATGTTACGGATATGTAGTTTCGGTTATGGATACGGTTACGAATATTGGAATAATATTATACCGGTTTCGGATATTTTTTTATTTCGGATATCCGAAAGTTTCGGTTACGGTTACGGATATCCATAACATCCCTGCTTTAAAGGTATTTGCGCCCCCCACTTTGGGAACCAATGGCCTATACCGTTGTACAGTATGCTTACCTGGGCGAGGCCGCGTCCCTCGCGTCGTGGGGCCGGCGCTCGACCGGCGGTGGCTCGCCGCCGAAGGGCCGCAGCTCCATCAGCGCCGGCGGCCGCTCGCCTAACAACCCGCGCCGGCCACTGCGAGGGCCGTTCTTGTCGCATCTACACAATATGAATGTTTGAGACTTGTGAACACATTAGTAAATTAGCGTAAAATATCAATTACGGTAGAAATTCGAAGCAGACTACACGCAGCAGTGCAGGTAACGAATTGGTTTCAAATCAATGTATTATACCTTATAAGACGTATCACCACAGAGTATCGCTAGCAACGGTAGCCAATAAATCAGCTTGACACTATTTTTTTGGGACATCCTGTATAAATACATAGAAACCAATATTATGTCGCCTGCTGCAGTGTGTAGTCAGCTTTGAACTTGAGCCTTTACCACAAGCTTTTGCTCAACATTTTTTGAACAGTCGACGACACAAAGATAAGCACTAAAGCTGTTGTCATATGCGCTATTTTGTAGACATGAGGTGTTAAGCTGCCGCGAAACAAACACAGTTTAGTGTACCAGCCGCTATAACAATCTTGTCTGCAAACCTTTTGTTGGCAATCAATTATTTACAATTTTTTTTAAGATTATTAGTAATTTGTATTGCACAAAGTTAGCCCCTCGTGGTAAGCTTGTGTTACGAGTGGGCTCACCTCAATAGTAAAGCGGCGTTGGGATTCGAACCCGCGTTCCTCGGATCTTGAGTCGGCCAGTCCGACCCCTTCACCATTCGGCTATTGTTTATTCTATTGTACAGTAGACTTTTGATCAAGATATAAAACCAAAATATACCTGTCTTTACGCGGCGAGCGTCTCTCACGCTCCTTGTCTTTACGCGACTCGCCGCGCTCCTTGCGGTCAGGCCTGCGGTCGCGGTCGGGCCTGCGGTCACGACTGTCAGCCTGAGGAGACAAATCGCACCTGTCGGGCCGCTCGTCCCGGCGGTCGCCGCGCCCGTCCCGCCGCGGCGACTCGCGGCGGCGGCGGTCGCTGTCGCGGTCGCGGGTGCGGTCGCGGTCGCGGCTGTCATCTGGGGAGAATGAGTTTTGTTAATTTCTTTGAAGAATAAATTAAGCAGGCAGGGTTCCAACGCTTCGTTTGCTGAGTTATTAAAATACTTATGCATAAAGGTTACAAATCATCAAACTGCTGAACCTATAGTGCTGAAATTCGGCACATATCTGTGCCTATCTAGGCATCCGTTATAAAAAGATGTTTACAACATTCATCTCTGTAGGGATAATAAAATACCTACATAAAACCGTAAGGGAGATGCTACACGGTGCATTGCATCGCCGCACCGCAAACATTTTGCAGCATCACTGTATTAGTGTCCGACCGAAACTAGTTTTACGACCGAAACCGAAACCGAAAACGAATTTCGGCAACGGTGTCTATTTCGGCCGAAACCGAAACCGAAACCGAAACTTTCTTACAAGGCTCATATTTTAAGGGAAAAATAAAGAAAACGTTATTATAATCAGTCAGTCTTTATTGTTTTCTCTTTAAATTGCATTATTTAAAGAGAATTGAACATATAAAGCACCTTTTTACTCTAAAATGTATCAAATTATGTATTAAAAAAGAAAAAGAAGGATTTATAGTCTAGATTTTTTTTAATTACTCGCAATATTCAGGACATCTACATAACCCGTCCCATAGTCGGGTCTTTTACCTTAATAATTTTTCAAAACAAAATTGGTAGTACGTAAGTTAGTATCTACTGTACTTGCCACTTGGATACCTTGGTGATAAATACTAAAATGAACTTTGAAACTCTGAATCCATAATATTATCACCATGAAATGCACTATAGTCATTACTAACTATAGCCCGACCAGGAACATAAAAACCCTCGCCATGTTGCGGAAAACTAATGGTACTAATTTCTTTTAATGGCTACAGTAACTGAAAACTTCATCGACATGTCATCTTGCATGTCATTTTAAACTGTCTATTGCGGTCAAAGTGTAAACAAACTTTATTTTAAATGTGCGCAATTGATTTTGTGAATTAAATTGCTAAAATCTTTTTATAGTCGTGAAAGAAAAGTGGTTCACAATGTGTTAAAGTATTTGTCGAAGAGAAATACTAAGGGTTCGGCAATATTTTCATTGAATAATGTTTCCGACAAAGGTTGTCAACTTGACTGACATGTTTATCGTATAGTACAGTCCACTATGAAAATTAGCTGTGGTTTGTTTCAACTACCTATTTTAAAGTTTTTTGTCACTTACAGCGCAGCGCAGAAACAGCGCGGAAACTCCCGAATGCACATTCGGTTTCGGTCGTAGTTTCGGCAAGTTTGCCGCCGAAAACGAAACTAAACCGAAACTCGTGTTTTTACCGAAACTCAACCGAAAACGAAACCGAAACCGAACATTCGGTCGGACACTATGATGAATGTATCTGTTACTATAAACTCGTAATATTTATTAGAGGCAGTCTAAGTTGGCCTTACTACTTGGTATCCACAAACATTACTATGAGGTCTCACAATGCGCGTGAACGCACAGGGTGACACGTACCAATCACAGAGCTATTCAAGGTTGTGGGTTCGATTTGCTGTTTCACTTAAGCAAGCATCGTTTGTGAATACGGGCGTAAGTTTCTATTTGACAATATGATTATTTATTATGCTATTTTTATGGCACGTCGGATAAGCTCGGTCCCGAACACGTTCAAACGTGTGACATGTTTTGTGCTCTTTGTAAGTGCCTATACATGTATTTTCTTTGAAATATGAATACCCTCTTTGAATGCTGCACAATAAACCGGAACGAAATATGTTTTGGGAAAGTACGTGACCATTATGCCCACTTTGGACTCGTTGAGAAGGTTCCGTGATGTATTTGTTGTACCGTAACATTTAATACAAAAGTTCATTTACACTATGTTTTAAGCCATCAGGTCCAACAATCATTTTAAAAGAAATGTTATACATAGTATCTCGGAATCTCGAAGTTATCATACGCAGTCCGATTTTGTAGTTGTATTATTCCAAGTTAAAGTCACAATTCTTTTGATTTGCATGGACTATTAAAAATAGTGCTTACAAATCCTCAAATATTAAAAATAAAATAAAAAAAACAAAAATAAAAGACTAATAAAAAAAATTAAGTTTTGCGGAGCCTTCACATATCTCATAATCTTTTTGCCCTACCAGCGCTTTGAGACAAACATTTGGCACGTATTATGGGGTCTATTCGTATGTCATATGCAAATAAATAACCAAATAACTATGTCATCCGGTTGTTCTTAGAGTATGTAACCAACCATCATATTATGTAGTTCTAACTGTCCTGATTTTTTCAATACTGTATAACATGTACTAAAACAACGAATTTTTGTATGGAAAAATCACCTAGCTATATTACAGTCTCGCAGCTTTCTAAAATAATTAAATCCAGATTCATTTACTAACTAAATTGCCAGTAGGCAAGTAACGGACGGAATCTCTATTTCAATCTAGACTGCATTGTTAGATTACAGTTTCAATAACAATTAAAGCCGACGTTCACTTTTTAGTGAGGAACTAATAATTAATTTATTCTGATTTGAATTAGTCTTTCATAGATCAAAACCTTTTGTCCAGTCTAATTTAACCCTGAAAGTTATTGACACAGAGCAATTGCGATCGTAGTCTATCACTACAGACGATGGATTGTTAGTATTTAATGTTACATCTTTATAAAAATACACAAAAAGAAGTGATTCAAAATGAATTCACTTCAAAAGTTCTGAAGCACGAGCGTATTTTTTGACATACAGTAATAGGTACTCGTACCTAGTTCAAAATAAAATGTACCCCGTTGGGATTCGAATATAAACACCAATAATAGTTAAGTGTAGGTATAATAATGACTAGGTACCTACCTAGTTTCATTTTTTATAAGCTCTTCATTACATTAGTTCGATAACTAACATGTTGGCAGAGAGAGCGCCACGGTGAGGTGTAGATGACAGCACGTCTACCTAAACCCCAGCACCTTATCTACATATGATAAGTGCTATTTTGCAAAAAATACATACGTAGGCTGATCTGCCGTCGACTCTACATTTAGTGGAAATAATGGGTAAAAGGCTGAACGGTTATTTTTATGACTGAGCTTGCATGCCCGGCCTAGCTTTTGGTCACGATTTGAAAATAGCGATTTCGACAAAAACATTTTGATTGTCCTACTTAAATAATGATTAAATAAAAAGCAAGTAGTTTAAACATTTCAATCTTCGTGATACTGTGGATTGAGAAGCTTGAGTCCGATTGGGAGTAACATTTTTTTCAGTTTTGTTTAAAACGATGGCGCTTAAGATAATTAGGCGGTAGGTATTTGAAATTTGAACTAAAAACATATAATTTCAATCGGGATAACGTTCACCAGCAATTTTTATCCGGTAAATTCAAATTCAAATTCAAATTCAAATTCATTTATTTGCACAGGAACATGGTACAATACAGATGTCAGATAAAAACAATCAGGTTCAACATTAATTAATTATTCTTATGTATTTGAGTATGATGATCCATTATCTTTTTAACTAAAGAGCGGAGTTTTTTATGACAAGCTTAAAATAGTATTTATCGAAATAAAACGTGAAACGCACTACAATAATTTCATGTTAAAACTCGTACAAGTTCTGTGACCTCGGTCAATAGTTTTTAGCATGCCGGTAACAGCTCGTTGCAGAGGCATTGCGCTATGCTGCGTCGGCACGCGTGATATGACATGACCACACAACCTGTGACAGGAAAACCATGGTGTATTTTTCTTCTTCTCTATTCTATGGCTTATACGATCTATCTAAATATAAATGTAAGCCAGCCATAAGCTTCTGACATGGCTCTATCAGATTGGCTTAATGCTTGTACATTCTTCTTCAGATGATCAGGTTAATTCAAGCCACTATGCTCTATCGAAACTGGGCAACAATATTTTGGTACCTACATAGTGATTAACCACTATGTGTGCCTTAGCTGGGATTCGAACTTGAAACAGTCGAGTGATAGTCTACGCCACTATGGCTACATTATGGTGACGCGGACGTGCAATTATGGAAGTAGGAGTGTCACAACCATGGAACACCAATGTCCGTTAATTGCGTTCAGGGGCGTGCAATGCATAATAATATAGGTTCGCACATACTGCCTGCACATTGTTTACTTGGCAAATGTTTGTTTATTGAAAAATAAAATTTAGTCATTTGAACATTTGAAAATTATTGTAACTGTCTAGTAGTTTCAAAATTGTAACTGCCAATCCTACCTCAAAATCAAATCAATGCTCGCCTTGGAAGCACAGGACTTGAACTGCGTAGGAAGTTCTCAAATGTTCTATTTACAAGTGGGCCAACTCCGTTAGGCTACGAGTACATCCGAATTTCAGCTACGTCGTATGTAGTCCAATACATAGTAAGCTGTAGATTCTTTAGGAAATGCAGCATCGGAAATGTGTGCCAATAATCTCGTTACTACCACGAGCAAGATGTGAAAAGTGTACGGCTCAGAAAAAGCCAAGCAGCATCGACAACTCTGCTAAAAGCATGGAAATGACATTAAGAAAGCCCCGCTTTTGAGAAGTAATAAAATAAAACAATCCCAGAATACAGCTACGCAGTAAAATTTACGATCGTCTCTCCAACACGCATTTCTTTTATGTTAGACTAGCGGCCGCCCGCGACTTCGTACGCGTGGATCCCGTTTTACCCCCTTCATCTATCTTACGTGGTTTAGATTTTTTCATACAAATGTTTTTTCCCGCTAACTTCCGTTCCCGTGGGAATTTTGCAATATCCTGTTGTAACTAAGCTTTAAGTTTACTAAGGTACCTGCATACCAAATTTCAAGCATCTAACTTAAGCGGTTTAGATTTTTCATACAAAAGGATTTTCCCGCTAATTCCCGTTCCCGTGAGAATTCCTAAGTATACTATAACCTGCCCAGGAGTATGAAGAATAATTGTACCAAGTTTCGTTAAAATCTGTCGAGCAGTTTTTGTTTCTATTAGGGACAGACAGACAGACAGACAAAAATTTTACTGATTGCATTTTTGGCATCACTATCGATCACTAATCACCCCCTGATAGTTATTTTGAAAATATATTTCGTGTACAGAATTGACCTCTCTACAGATTTCTTATAAGTATAGATGGTAATTGGCGACAACTTATGTGCAGGCGCAGAGGCGATCCATTACATGTCAAGATTGTTTTATTACGCGTTATAACAAACCTCAGCATCCGTGTTTGAGTGAATGGAGATGTAGTGACAGATAAGGATGAAACTAAGGCTTGAATTTGTTTTGCAATTGTACTGATTCTGTGCCTGTTATACGACTATTTTTCGAGTTTATTCTGCACATATTTCCATGAGCACCATGGGCAGGTTAGAACTAATGCAAACGCATAAACTTCCCCAACCCGTCTGGCCAGCGTGGGGAGTATATGACATATCCTCTATTTGCCTTTTTGAATTAGAGAGGGTAGTGCTCTTGCAGTGGAGACAAATTCACCTGATGAGGAAACGCAATGTATGTTACTTACTTAAATAATACATTTTTGGACCAAATACTCGAATTTTAAGTAACGTCAAAATCCAGTGAGATAATGCATCTGCTTGAGCAACATTTTTGCCTCAATTGTTGTTTGGTGTCAAAAAATGCATTCAAGAATCACGTTGCAAATGCAATCTTCAAGTAACACCTAATGAATTTCGTTAATATGGTACGAGTATGTCGTTGATGTTTGTGATTGTTTGGGTATGGGTTGACTAGATCTTTGTAAACTTATAATATGAATTTTGTGTCTATTCTATAGGTATTATTATTGAATACTCATAGCTAGGTACTTTACATACACCGATACCTCAAGATTGTTATCTTTACTGTCAAGTTACAGTTACAGATCACAGGCCTATAGATTTACGACAGAGAAAGTACTAAATTAACAAAAAAAGTGCAAATTTTAAAAACCTGCTCGAAAACCTGTTATTGAAAGTTTTTCGTGCGTTCTGACAATTTGGATTTGAATCTTTGGCACTATAAAGACTATGTGACTTGCAAATTTTGAGAAACCATGAATCTACGGCTGATTGGAAGTGTTGATAAGGATAAAATTAATTTGCTAATAGAGAATGAAACTGATAATTGGTAAAATTTAAGGTGTGACTTTAGTATTACTTTTTCTATTGGTCTTCAAGTTGAAATTCGCTCGTTGAACACTGAGGGATGTTGGAGCCTTGGTATTGTTTAGAAGTGGCCGCTAATTGCAGTCACAAAATAACATATCTAAGTAAATTATAAATAACTTGAAAATAATAAACTGCCTAAGGCGGGAATCGAACCCACGCACGACCTTTCGCTTGCCGGGCGAGTGCTCTTCCATCTGAGCTACTTAGGCTGGGTTGCACCATGTTACTTTAACTTTGACAAACGTCAAAATTCTGTCAAACTTCATACAAAAAACACCGGTCATTGTTATAGTTACGGTTAAAATAAGATGGTGCACTCAGCCTTAAACACTGGACTCCCGCCTTAGGCAGTTCGATTTCTTCATGTTATTTATAATTTAGTTTGAGAAGGGACTCTAATCGCTAAGATAAATAAATTTAATATCTAAGTAATTCTTGATTACTGACTTGACTATAAATTATATTCGTAACATTGATACAATCAATTTTTATCCACCCGTTTCAATTGTCTTTGCTTCTTGTAGAGCCAATAAAGTTTACATTCAAAGTACTGCTGAATTATTCATGGCCGATAGATTTGTACAGATAGCACGTCAAGCTTAACACTAGGGTCTTATGTATTTGTAATAGAAGCGATTTCGAAACGAAAATGTATAGCCTGATGTGCTGTCGTTTGTACCTAAAATCTTGTTATATAAAACGAAGTTTATTTAAGGCTAGCGTGTCACGCCTCGGTGCGGCTTCATGCCTAGGTCTCAGGTCGCCTGGGCCGTAGCACGACGAGAACAGCCACCTCTTGACCTCGTATAGTAGTGAGATACTAAAATAATGTGTCTCAAAACGAACTACAAAATAAATACATGTTCTTACGAGCATTGCTAATTAAAACTAAGCTAATTTCTTTGCCAATAATTATTGGTGGGTAAAAGAAAATATAATAATTATGTATTTTAAATTTTAATTAGGAATCGCGCTCAGAATCAACGTTCGCAATTATAATTTAAATTACCGTCTTGACACGTAAACATTTATTACATTACTTATGCTTAGGCAGAGTTGCACCAACTAACTGTGACAATAACCGATGTTTTTTGTATGGAGTTTGAGAGATTTCTGGTGTTTGTTTTTAGAGTAAGATGGTGCAACTCAGAGTTAGCTGATCTCAGATGTGCTATCCAAACCCAAGGCCGAGCCACAACGATAGGTCTCCGCGACAGCCCAAGGCCCACGCGGCACGGAAGGGTGTTTCGCCCTCTGGGCTGCCGGTCGATGAAGTAAAGATTTGCCAGAAAATACTGTCTACTTGGTAGCCAGGATCTACAACTTGACCGCCAATAAAAACCCAACCAGTGAAGGCCAAGTGTGTCCCGGGGGAAAGTTAAACTGTCATTGGACCCGCTTGTCTACTTGATACTGAAATGCGACATTCACAAACATTACTATGAGGTCTCACAGTGCGCGTGGACGCACAGGGTGACACACGAACCAATCACAGAGCTCTATTCAACGCTGTGCGTTCGATTTGCTGCTTCACTTAAGCAAGCATCGTTTGTGAATACGAGTGTTAGAGATTTGCTAGAAAACGTTTGGGTATTCAATTACCTACTGATTTATATGTAAGCATGTTAATAATTACAATAGCTGGTTTATGTGCTATAAAATGAATTTGGTGGTGGGTATAGATAGAGCAAAATAGAATAGCATAGATTGCTGTTTCTATTTGTAAGAATGTTTGTACGAGTATGTACAAGGTGGTAGAAAAGTTTTTCACTATTTGAAAAAAGAGGTCAGAGAAAAATAATTAAACACACCCGGAAACGTCAATTAAGCAGGGTAAATTGCCAGTCATCAGACAGTTAAGGGATATTATAGTCTAGTAATTTATTGAATTAAAAATATATTTCTATTTCAATACTAAGGAGTGTTTGTCCAATGACTGTGCCCCGATTACGCTAATTTTTAACGTCTACAATACATCGCGCTTATTCTCCAGTTGCGCTCCGTTTTTAATTCCAGCTGAGGTGCAAATTCGGTATCACCGTAATGGACGTACTTTCCTAGTATTTTCATTGTCACATGAGATATTTAGCTTTACGTTTACGTCTATGCTTCCTTTCAACTAGGTGTCATAACGACACCGCGATACGGATTTGTCAAAACAGCTGATGTTCGTTCGGCGTCCGGGCACGTTGAAGATGGAAATTTTTAGCGTAATCGGGGCCCTGGTCGGCGTCCAATGGAAGTTTGCCCTAGTGATATGTATCTGAACGTCTGGTGATATAATTGAAGCCGTCTAACTTCGCTCGACATATTAAAGAGCCATTGTGGAAAATTCCACGAATGTATTGCGGAATCGTCTCCTAATTACGAGACTTATTGTTTCAATGGACAGCAAGTTGTTCCGCTTTCAAGCCGTGCTCATTAGGATGGGAACTTGAGTGTAAAACCATTTTGCGGGAGTCTCACTCAATTGGAGGAGAAAATTCTAGAAAAACCATCTCTTATTAC